TATATATATATTTGAGCTCATACTCTACTGTCACGTGCTTGATTTGCATCCCATCACATGTTTTGAAGAAATATAAAATAATAAAAATAAAAATAAATAAAAAAAGTCTAATTTTACAATAGCCCATTACATGAATTAGCTTGTTTAAGTGGCAGCATGTACCCCATATTATTTTCAATGTCTGGTTAATGGGGGCTTTTATTTGTAACTGTAAAGTCACAGATTCATAGTGATGGATGGACCAATACTAAAGTATGCATGTTGCATTCAGAAGATTGATTCTTTCAATGTTTAATTTAATGTTTTGCTTTTTAAACTAACAATTGTATTATTTAGCATTAAAACATTATGCACCTCATACAATTTTAAAGTGCAAAAAAAAAAAAAAAATAGTTGTGTAGGATAGAAACAACGGCTACATGTCTGCATCTAAGTAAAACGCATACCCAATCTTATAAGAAAACAGTTTTATGAGGTGGTGATTTCATGTAAATTTGTAAGATGTGATTAGAGCGGAAATGTACGTAAACTAAACATGAAGGTCCCTAACCCCACACCTAAATCTTAACATCGGTGAGGTGTGAGCACATTGACAAAGTCAATATCGTATGAATTAGCCACCAATTTGTTAAAATGTAAAATAGTATTGCCAGTAATCAAACTACATTGATTGAGATCTTTACATGCAAATATCTTCCTTTGTGCTCCATAGAAGAAAGTCATATTGGTTTGGAATGACATGAGGGTGAGTAAATGATGACAGGCTTTTCATTTTTGGGTGAACTACTCCAAATGCAATACTTAATTTGTCTCTTTATCACATTACAAAGGTGAATGTAAAAGTAGTACAAGATTGCATTTTGGTGACTGTATATTTTACAGTTCCTAACTATGTCACCAACTTTTACAAATCAGTCATTGAAAACCAGTTTGTTTAACCAGTTTTCTGTTGCCACATTTATTTCAATAAGCCATTGTTAATGTGGGTTTTTACAGCATTACAACTATTTGTTATTTGTTTTTTCTTCCTCCTTCACTTTGGACCAGACAATAGACTAAGAAAAAAGTCCAAACTAGACAATAAATCACTTGCAATAAAACTTTTTTCCATAAGTTTGTCATGTGATGACAATGATTATAGGGCAACAACTCAGTCATGCCGCTATTCATTTTCTGAATGCATGTTTTGTACAAGCAAGAAATTTATTGTCAAGCACACAAAAGACTGGATTGGGAAAGGAACTAAATTCCAATTCTAAGGGCTATTTAAACACCTCTTGGTTGATTTAAAAAGTATGTTTATATATTAAATATATATTCCATTGACAATGATCACCTGTTTAGAATAAAAGAAAGAAGGAAAAGAAATATCTATTTAAACACTGCTTGAACGTAACATGTTATTGTATGTAACCAACAGCTTT